CTAGTACTCCAGTTCAGCTCTTACTTTGGCTCTTGGCTACTACTCCTACTCAGCTAGTACTCCTGCTCTGTAGTAGTATTCCGGCTCGGCTAGTACTTCAGCTCTCGGGTAGTACCCGGGTCTTGGCTAGAACTCCAGCTTGGCTAGTTCTTTGGTAATTCTCCAGCTCGACTGTTACTTCAGCTTTAGGCTGGTACTTCAGCTCTTGGATAGTACTTTTTCTCTTGGATAGTACTCCTGCTAGGCTAGTATTCCAGTTTGGCTAGTATCCCAGCTCTCGGATAGTACTCCACCTCTTGGGCACTACTCCTGTTTTTAGCTAGTACTCAAGCTTGGTTGGTACTCCAGCTCAGCTAGTATTTAAGCTCTTGACTATTACTCCAGCTCTTGGGTAGTACTCCCGCTCTTGGTTAGTACTCAAACTCGTTTAGCATTTCTACTAAGCTAGTACTTCTGTTCATGGATAGTATTATGGTTCTTTTCTACTACTCCTGCTCAGCTAGTGCTCCTGCTCTCTCTAGTATTCCGGCTAGGTATCAGAACTTACCTGTCAGATTATCTTAAGCTCTTCAACACAAAAAATCTCCGCCCCCTTCTGATGTGGCTTTTTCACGACTTATAGAGAAGTTGTGCCAGAATTGAAATTGCTTAGTTAATGCTTTAGGTTACCTCTGTGTTTCTTGTGCTCCTCTTCGTTGTTTCATCGTGTACCGAACTACTGGACCGTATAAACGGATTTCCTGTCATCTCCAATCCCTGATCTCAGACTGTATATCGTTATACCTGCTATTTCAAAAACCTAAAGACCCGGACTGATCTAGGTTATACCGCCTTCTTGATTACAGCTAACCGGCTTGTGGAAGTCTACTCCCATCAGACCTTAAGTATTCTTGTTCTCCATATCTGGGGATTGAATTGTTATTATTTTGGACTGTATCCTGCTTTCTATCTATCGCCTGCTACAGCATTGTTGCTATTAACCTGCTACTGTTGCTTTTACTTCATCTATTGCTTTCATTGCTGAGGAATCCTTAAAGCTACAGTACTTGCTTAAAGTTACAGGACTTTTTCCAAACCTTTGGATCTATCCTAATTGAAATAAATAAGTTATCCATTCTGCAGTTGTGTTCCTCATCTATTCAACTTGTAGCATAACACTAGACTAGTACTCTGGCTCTTGGCTAGTATTCCAGCTCTTGGTTAGTAATCCAGCTAGCTCTTGGATAGTACAAAAGTTCAGATAGTACTTTGGCTCTTGGCTAGTACTCCAGCTCTTAAGTAGTACTCTGGCTAGTGGCTAATACTTCGGCTCTTGGCTAGTACTCCAATTTGAGTAGTACGTTCTTTTGTTAGTACTTCTGCTCTTGGCTAGCCCTTTGGCTACTACTCCTGCTTGGCTAGGATTTCAGCTCTCGGCTAGTATTCTTGCTTGGTCAGTACTTTGCCTCTTGGCCAGTACTCCAGCTCAGCTAGTACTTTGGCTCTTGGATAGTACTCCGGCTTGAAAAGTACTTTGGGTCTTGGCTAGTACTCCAGCTCTTAAGTAGTACTCTGGCTAGTGGCTAATACTTCGGCTCTTGGCTAGTATGCCTGCTTGGCTAGGATTTCAGCTCTCGGCTAGTATTCTTCCTCGGTCAGTACTTTGCCTCTTGGCCAGTACTCCAGCTCAGCTAGTACTTTGGCTCTTGGATAGTACTCCGGCTTGAAAAGTACTTTGGGTCTTGGCTAGTACTTTGGCTCTCAGCTAATACTCTGTCTCTCGGCTAGTACTTCATCTCGAGTAGAACTACAGCTCTTGGCTAGGACTCCAACTCAAGAAGCACTATGGCTTTTGGCTAGAACTCCTGCTTGGCTAGTACTTTTGCTCTTGGCTAGTACTTTCTCCTCTTGGCTAGTACCTTGGCTCTTGGTTAGTGCTCTGGTTCTTGACTAGTAGTCCAGCTCGAATAGTACTTCGGGTTTTGGCTAGAACTCTTGCTTGACCAGTACTTTGACTCTTGTCTAGAAGTCTAAGTCTTGGTTAGAACTTCGGCTCTTGGCTTTGCTAGTACTTTGGCTCTTGGCTAGTACTTTAGCTCGGCTGGTACTCAGGTTCATGGCTAGTACTCTGGTTCTTGGCTAGTACTCCAATTTGAGTAGTACTTTTGCTCTTGGCTAGTGCTTTGATACTTGACTAGCACTTTAGCTTGGCTACTACCTCCGCTCGCGGCCTGATACTTCATTTCATGGGTAGTACTTTTGCTCCTGGCTAGTACTTTGGCTCTTGGCTAGTACTTTGGTTCATGGGTAGTACCTTTGCTCTTGGCTAGTACTCCAGCTTGGCTAGTACTATGGCTTTTGGCTTGTACCTTTCCTCTTGGCTAGTACTTTAATTCTTGACTAGTACCTTAGCTTGGCTAGCACTCCTATTTGAGTAGTACTTTCTTTGGTTAGTACTTTTGCTCTTGGCTAGCACTTTGGCTCTTGGCTAGTACTCCAGCTCGACTAATACTTTGTTTCTGGGCTTGTACTTTTGTTCTTGGCTAGTACTTTGGCTTTTGGTAGTAGTGCAGCTTGGCTGGTACTTCAGCTCTTGGCTTGTACTTTTGCTCTTGGCTTGTACTTTTGCTCTTGGCTAGTACTCTGGCCCTTGGCTACAACTTTGGCTCTTGGCTAGTACTCTGCCCCTTGGCTAGCACTCAGGCTCTTGGCATGTATTTCAGGCTCATGGGTAGTACTTTTGCTCTTGGCTAGTACTTTGGCTCTTGCCTAGTACTCCAGCTCTGGTAGTACTCCATCTCTTGGTTTGTACTTTTGCTCTTGGCTAGTACTTTGGTTCTTGACTAGTATTTTGGTTCTTGACTAGCACTTTAGCTTGGCTACTACTTCCGCTCACGGCCTGATACTTCATCTCATGGGTAGTACTTTTGCTCTTGGCTAGTACTCTGGCCCTCGGCTAGTACTCTGGCTCTTGGCTTGTACTTTAGGCTCATGGGTAGTACCTTTGCTCTTGGCTAGTACTCCAGCTTGTTTAGTACTATGGCTTTTGGCTTGTACCTTTGCTCTTGGCTAGTACTCTGGCCCTTGGCTAGTACTTTGGCTCATGGCTTGTACTTTTGCTTTTGGCTTGTACTTTGGCTCGTGGCTAGTACTCTGGTTCGTGGCTAGTACTCCAATTTGAGTAGTACTTTTGCTCTTGACTAGTACTTTGGCCCTTGGCTAGCACTCAGGCTCTGGGCATGTACTTTTGCTCTTGGCTAGCACTTTGGCCCTTGGTTAGTACTCCAGCTCAGCCAGTACTTCAGCTCTCTGCTAGTACGTTGGCTCTTGGCTAGTACGTTGGCTCTTGGCTAGTACTCTCAGCTAGTACTTATGCTCTTGGCTTGTGCTTTTGCTCTTGGCTAGTACTTTTGCTCTTGGCTAGTACTTTGGTTCTTGACTAGTACTTTAGCTTGGCTAGTACCTCGGCTCATGTGTAGTACTTTTACTCTTGGCTAGTACTCTAGCTCGGCTAGTACTACGGCGCTTGGCTTGTACTTTTGCTCTTGGCTAGTACTTTTGTTGTTGGCAAGTACTCCAGCTTGGCTAGTACTTTGGCTCTTGGCTTGTACTTTTGCTCTTGGCTAGTACGTTGGCTGTTTGCTAGTACTCCAGCACGACTAGTACTTCAGCTCTTGGCTTGTACTTTTGCTCTTGGCTAGCACTTTGACTGTTGGATAGTACTCTGGTTCTTGGCTAGTACTCCAATTTGAGTAGTACTTTCTTTGGTTAGTACTTTTGCTCTTGGCTAGCACTTTGGCTCTTGGCAAGTACTCCAGCTCGGCTAGTACTTCGGCTCTTGGCTTGTACTTTTGCTCTTGGCTAGTACGTTGGCTCTTTGCTAGTACTCCAGCTCGACTAGTACTTCGGCTCTTGGCTTGTACTTTGGCTCTTGGCTAGCACTTTGACTGTTGGCTAGTACTCCGGTTCTTGGCTAGTACTCCAATTTGAGTAGTACTTTTGCTCTTGACTAGTACTTTTGCTCTTGGCTAGTACTTTGGCCCTTGGCTAGCACTCAGGCTCTGGGTAGTACTTTTGCTCTTGGCTAGCACTTTGGCTCTTGGCTAGCACTTTGGCTCTTGGCTAGTACTCCAGCTCGGCTAGTACTTCGGCTCTTGGCTTGTACTTTTGCTCTTCGCTAGTACTTTGGTTCTTGATGAGCACTTTAGCTTGGCTAGTACCTCCGCTCACAAGCTGATATTTCATCTTTGGCTAGTACTTTGGCTCATGACTTGTACTTTTTGCTAGTACTCTGGCTCTTGGCTAGTACTTTAGGCTCATGGGTAGTACTTTTGCTCTTGGCTAGTACTTTGTCTCTTGACTAGTACTTTGGCCCTTGGCTAGCACTCCAGCTCGGCTAGTACTTTGTTTCTGGGCTTGTACTTTTGTTCTTGGCTAGTACTTTGGCTCTTGGTAGTAGTGCAGCTCGGCTAGTACTTCAGCTCTTAGCTTGTACTTTTGCCCTTGGCTACAACTTTGGCT